TATTTGAAGGTATTTTAGGCAACTTTATCGCTATTTTTCGTGGGCATGTGTAAGGGTTGCTTCTTACATTTTTTTCGAAATAAAAAAAAACTATTTTCTTGTTGGGAAAATCCAAATATCAAATTTACGAAGTATGCATCGAAGAAGAAAGAGAGGAATAGGATTAGATAGAAGAAATGGACAAGAAAGGGAGTGGGATTTATAGTTAATAAGAAGGTACAGTCAACATTACCATAAAGTAATACACAACTGTGATATAGAATCATAGCAATGAAAGTAGATGCGATACCAAGAACAATACTAGTCTTCCAGGTATAGGACAGAATTAGAGAGGAAGGCCAGGGATGCTCTAAGATTGTGGTGGGAGATTGGAATGCCAGTGTGGGAAAGAGTTGGAAAATGCGTACTCGGAGAAAGAAATGAAAGAGGGGATAAACTGATTGAGTTTTGCAAAGAAAATAATTTGATTGGAACACATGGCTGGAGAACCATAAAAGGAGGCGCTACCCTTGGAAAGCACCAGCCACCAGGAGAGCTACATATTTAGGAAACGGGTAGATATTATATTGGTAGAAAGAATGGAGTCAAAGAAGTTTGTGGGCTACCAGGAGCTCGTATATTCAGCGACCACATTCCCCTAGCTCCAGGTTTAGAGATAGTACTGAAAAGAGTGAGGAAATCGAATTTGGACAAATTGAAAGAATTGCACAAAGATGAAATAGGATGTAAAATGGAAAGAGACATAATAGCGTGGGATGGAACACAAAGGACGGAAGAAAGTGTGGAGAAACATTGGGAGAGGATAAAAGAAGGTGTAATAAAAATTAGCAGAGTGCATCGGTTTTTCAAGAAACCTTGGTTAACAACAAAAGCTAAACATTTAAGCCCAGACGAAGGGAAAAGAAAGAACTAACAACAGAAACGAATGAGGCAAGAACATGGTTTGAAAAGGAATGTGGGGAAATCGAAGAACTGTAGAAATTAGATAAACGTGATTGGGTATATAATAAAGTGAACGCTAGTAGTAACTATGATAGGGATAGAAATAGAAAATAGAAATGGCAAGTTGTGGTAGAAGAAAGAAGCGAAGTATTGTAATGTGGAAAGAATATACCGGGTGGTGCACGCTAAGTAGGAACATAGGGATTTAACATGGGAAATTAGTTTTATGCATTATCTTGCCCTCCTGTATATTACTGAAAAAACTGTAGAGTTTAAAATTGTTCAGATTTAAAAGGTACAATACAATATCTTGCGCGCAAGATTGCCACTAAGGAGCAATAATGCTGAATTCTGCTTCCCTGAAATCTCCATTTGTATTCGTCAAAATAACTGGCAGCGTTTATCAGCGCTGCCTTTTTGGACTGTAGCGATTCTTGAGGGTTAGGAAACGGGATTGACGGGATAATCAGGGAAGAGTAGGTCTCCCAGTGAAACAATCCAGAGCGAATGCAAACCTGTATAGGGTGGGCGCCAGACAGACACAAAATCCGGCCAAAATGAAACTAAAAATAAAACAAAAATAAAGGACCATACGAGTTTGCAAAGCTCCGGTACTAGGGGGTTCCAACTTCTCGTCTGAATAATCGATATAATTATTTAATTTCAGTAACAAAATATTAAAGTAACCAATTACCTATAAGTATAAGTAATATCAGCATTATAACACTAAGGTACAAACAAGAACAGCTGTTTCTGTAATACCTTGTTTCCAGTGAACGAATATAGTAACGAAATTAGGTTTGTAGTACAATCGATAAATGCCATAAATTTTACGAGTAATAAATAGAGGCAATAGATCCACAAGCGGAATACCCGCTACAGTAAGTACATGCAACGATACAACAAAGGCATAAAGATACATAAAGAATGTTAGCTTAAATTATAATGTCGAATGACCAACGCATATAAGGTCATTAACAGCAAAGGCATTCAATTGGGTAAATTGGGAGAAACTGTTGGAACTACTAAAAAGGAATGGTGTCAATTGAGAGAAAGACTAATACAAAACTTACATAAACAAAAAGCAAAAATCAGAGTAAAAAGGTGGATTGGTTTGATATCGGAAAAGGAGTTGGATAGGGATGCTGTTTATCAATTATCACCAACAGCAATGAAAGAGACCAAGAAACGTTTGAAGTAGAATTGGAGAGGAAAGGATCATAGAGCAAAGGGAAATGAACTGGATGGGACATGTCGAGAGCCTTGTTCAGGGAGAAATGAAAAGAGGAAATTGGTTGACGACCTGAAGGAGGGAAAAGAAAGATATGAAGGAGTAAAGAGAACCAGAAAACCAATGATGATGTCGTGATTACGTCTAAAAAATGTCTGTGTCTGTATAGGCGGAATTTATTACTCCATTGTTATTTTTTAGATATTTCAAAGTTCTAATTTTTTTAAAATTTATTAATAACCAGATCAACATACAAAAATGTTATACATGGCTGAGTTGTTATGAACCTATGTGTTAATGTTTCGAATTTCGCTTTGAGGCGAATGTCCGAGTATAGATCTTTGGGAAGTTTTCTCTTCATTCTTTTATGCAGGATTTTACGTCCTAATTGTTGGAGAATGAGTTGGTGCGTGGTTTGCGGATACATTCCTCGATTGGATTTATTCCCAGTTCGTAGTGCACTTGTTGATTCGTCATGAATCAGGGTGCGTTAATTACAATGCATAGTACTTGGTTTTGGAAGGGCTGAATTTTCTTGAGGTTTGTTTTTTGAGGTGGACAGGTGTATGTGATTATTATAGGTCTGAAGAGAGCTTTGTATAGAAAGATGCCACGATCATGTTGTAATGGTGTTTCCCGGTATGCTTCAAGGTATTTAGTAGCTTCTTTTTGATTGTGAATATTTTGCTGGCGCATTTGGTTTTAAGAAAGGAGATGATTACATATTTAATATGTCGAGGAATGTATCTTTATGTGAGACCTTGGATTCACACTTTATCGAAGGCCTGGGTAATGTCAGAGAAAACTGCGACTGTGTGTTGTTTATTTCGTATCCTTCTTCCATTGTTTCTGTAACACTTAGTAACTGCTGGATTGTGGTCGAAATCCGAAGTCCGGAATTATATGTGTATCCCCTAGAAAGTACTTAGCCTTCGGTTTATTACTTTTTCTAGCAGTTTGGAGAATACGGCTAGCTAGGGTACTTATGGGTTGGTAACTATTGCAATCATGTTTGTATTTCCCGATATGTTTCAAATTAGTTGGACTGGTCTGTCATTAAAAGTGTTTTCATAAACAATATACAACTGGCACCAAAGTGTCGATTGAAACATTGTACCTAACCATCAGTTTATCTTAATGTGAATGTGAATTCTTTGGGGCGCATACCATGTTCAAGAGTTTGAATAAAAAAAGGTTATAAAAATATTCTTTAACGCGAATAAAAGATGTGAATGGGTGGGTAACTTCGTTTCCGTTCGAACAAACAAAGGAAGGAGGTTTTGCTTACAATGAACGAATTTATTTCTGTCTAGCCCTGCGTTATGAAGAGTAGAAGCATAATATTGTTTAAGCATTTTCGGTTTTAGTTTTTTTCAGTGTTTCTCAAATACATCTACTACTGCATGCAGACGAAATACTCAAAATGCGAGGAATTTTGATGAAATGCCTAGAAATTACTTTTAAAGTTCCTGTATTATTATATGAAAACCTTGCAAGAATTAACTCTAAGTTGCACATGAAAGGAAAATTTCGACGTAAAACCCCAAATTTTGAAAATTTCAAAACCATTAGCAAATTTAAATTTCAATGTAAAAGCAATAATGCTAAAAAGAAGAGTATGCAACGGATGTTTCAAACTGCGATTCCTGCGACCCTGTAATTCTTTCAGCGGTGTCAGTGGTGCAGTTTTTGTTCTCTATGAGGTTGGTCGTTTTGATTTATGGGCCTATTTGTCAATTATGATGGCGAATGAATTTAGGAAGTAAACTAAATTGATTTAAAGCCAAAGTTTAGAATTTAAAATTCCTTAAATAGGCCATGATTATGAATTGTTTGGACTGTACCTCAATTAGGTTGCCAGAATTTTCATTGTAGCCTGGTTTGTTGTGATATTTGGCATATACTGTGCGTTGCAGATAATAGGGTCACCTCAATATATCTTTTATTTGGCGACATACGAAAAATTTGTTAAATATAATTTTATTTGACATTGCCATCAGCGCATATTCAAACTTCCGGTTTAACCGGAAAGCGATGCAACTTTTGTTTTTCAAACGCAATTCCTATTTTTTTTAAGAATTAATAACAACATAAAATCAAAACAACATAAAATATCTGGTTGATATAAAGAAAAATAGAAAATTCGTGATTTAACATTTAGAACATTTATGAAATCTAGCATGTCGTGTGCTGTCATGGTTGCATTACATGGGGAGAGCGTCTCGTGCAAAAGTAAATCTTCAAAACAAAACAATGAACAAGCTACTGTAGGTTTTTTCTGTCATATGGCATGCTAGATTTCAAAAGTTGCATCGTTTTCCGGTTAAATCGGAAGTGATACCGGAAGTTTTATTATGCGATCAGATAGATCGTGTTGTCACATATAAAATTATATTTAACAAATATTTCTTCTGAGATTGAGGTGACCCTATTATCTGAAACGCACTGTATTCCTTCCCACTCTATTTTCTATGTAGTTCAATTTTCTTGTCTGATAATTGTATTCATGTTTTCTGGATTTTTGAAGATTGTTACCGAAATCTGTTTTTTCTTCTTTTTTTGAATGTGCCTACCTATAATGTTTTTTCCCCTAAAATACAGTACTGGCTCTATCGCACCTTTGGAAATTATTGTCATTGCTTTTTTTGTTTATACTCGAGTTATCTTTAGACCAAATGAAATTTTCCTATTATGATTGAATTTTAAACATTAAACAAAAACAACTGACACAATAAAAACATTTGAGCGAAACTTGCACAATATACTACTACTACGTATTTTAAACTATTCCTTTTGTGTTACTTATATTTTCCTTTGTTTGTTACAGGCGAGTGATCTCATTAATTCGTATCAGTGGTAAGTTTTTCACTTTGGTAGTTATATATTCGTTTTCTGTACGTACTTTACGGGAAAGTGCAGCCACATCATTTACTCAAAATCATAGATTAGCGATAAGAAACTGCATTAAATGTTTTGGATCAGATACACACTTTCCAAATTAAGAAAATTCTAAATCCACTCTCAATTGAAAAGCAAACTAAGTTCTAGAAATAGAACCCTTTTTGGTTCACATTTTAGAAACTAATCGATCGGGTTTTTGGATTTTGGTCAAAACATTTATTTTGCCGAGTTTTCACGGGGTACAAAGTAATTTCCTTGGAGATTGATCGGACATCAAACGAATAAATTGTGGTAATTGTCGTAATACAAGCAGATTGGTTACTCGATCATGGTTAACCGAAAACGATTTCTTAGACATTTCATATTGTTCGACGTCTGAAATTTAGAGCCGTGCGCGAAGGCACGGAAATGAAAATTTACGATCTGCATTATACTAAGTTCCAATGCCAAACTGTTGGTGGAAAAAAAATTCGCTTCATCCTCAAGCGAAAGAGCAGCCGGAAATAACGCGAATTAATTAAAAGATAGAGGGTATGCACAGGTAGTACGGAAGTGATTTAATGTGACCCGCGGTCCCGATGTACTTTAATCCAAAGATATGCATTTCCGACTTTATTGCCAGAAAGTGCAAATCACGGCACGGGAAACAAAATTTAATGTCGTCGCAATCTGCATATTCATTGCATTTTTGTTCAAATTGCGAGCGGAATAAAGCTAGAGAGCTACAAATGAGGTTATCACAAATTCTCGCTCCTTTTACTTGTTTTGATAGGCTGGTGTTAAAAACAAATCGGGTCAAGACACTATCAAACTGTTTTCACATGATGAATGCGTGTAAACTTCAACTGTGTTAAACTATTTAGATCTTCCATGATTTTTCCGAACTCTGCAACTTTTACTCAGGCTGTTTAGAGATTTGATGCTTACCTTTGGTTGGATCCATCGTTAAAAAATTTTAAAATAAAAATTACAGTACTTTTTATCGTGCTCTGAAAATTCCAAGTGTAGGAGGCAATTGAATTGAAAATATTTTGGAGAATGTTTGCTCTTCCACACCATACTTTCTTAAAATATTTTTTTCTTTCAAGTTTTTTCAATGTTTTGTAGTAGATATGTTTGAGAATTTTAAGAGTAATAGTTAATTGAACCCAATATGTATTCAAAAGCGAGTTTGTCAAATTATTTCATGAATTTCAATTTGAAAACGTTTTCAAAGGTTCGGAATATTATTTGCTCGAATATTTGAGAAAGAATTGTTTGATAAATAATTAAAATTTAAAATAATATGTTGAAATGTGGTTTACGATTCAAGGGAATTTGAAATTTTTTTGAAATTATTGTATCAGATTTAAGGTCTATCCGATTTAAGGTCTTCATTAAAGCCAATTTTCATATGACGAACTTGAAGTTTGAAGAACAAGTATTAAATATTTCACGCTTTAAATTTAGTGCATAATTGTTGTGAAGTCAGCAGTAACAATACTGCAATTAATATGCAAAAATATGCACTTGATCCTCCAATGCACACTCATCTTTCATCTCTTCAAAAACTGCAATAAAATTATGTAGAATTAATTTAAAAGGACAAACTAGGTCTAAAAACCCGTACCAGTCCACATAGCTGTTGACCCGGGTCGAAATGCTGTTGGACCAGCTGAAAAAGCTCTTGTACAGCTTCACGAACAGTTGAAAATGCTGTTGTTCACGAATCTCAAAGGGAGGTACGATTCCGGGAATGTTCTTCAGCATAATAATTTCTGCGTCTACTAAAAGTCTCAATTTTGAGTTTGAAGCTTGAGATTTAAAAAGTGAACTTTCAATTTACTTCACGCGTCATTAATAACTTTTTCAACATCCCGTCCCCCTTCCTTAAGCCGCCCTTTTGATGCACACCTCTTTCACGCAGGCTTTATTACACTCTCTCCCTTTCTTGGTTTTTTATTTTTGTTCAGGTCACATTTGATCCCATTTCCTTTCCTTTCCTTCAAGCTTCTCCCCTCTGCTTCCAAATCATTCCCTGCAAGTTGTCTCTGAATCTAGTTTCCCCTTTCCTTGAGCCTCCTTCTTTACGTCTGCCTCACACGTCTTTACGCTTTTCGCCACGTTCTGCTTTTGAAAAAGTGTTCCAACATTTGATATTTTTTTAAACTTGTTCCTTACTTTTTCGTGCTGTTTCGATCATGAATTGAGAGAGGATCTTAAAAAAAATGCGATAATTTTACTACCACCAAAAAAACAGTTAAATAAAGTGCTCCATTAAAAGCTTAATTTTTATGATTACACACGGACATATAACATGCCATGTAATGCGAAAAACTGGAGCATAGAATTTAATAATTTATAAAGGTTGAATGTGCCCGCCTGTAATTTTAGCGAATCACAGTTGAATGTTCAGACAGCATTTTAATCAGTAAAATGTAAATTACACGACATACCCCTAAATGAAGAGGGTGTTTTCTTTTAATCTAAATTAACAACGCTCCTAACGATTCTCGCGCACGTCACTAATTTTCGAACAATAATTTAATCTCGTTAGTGTCGGGGAAAGGGTCACGTGCTCTTCGGAATTGAAAATTGTTACCGCCGATAACTGACAGGAAGTGGCGTTATTTCTCGTGGAACGTCAGGTGATGGTCAATCACATACGAAAGAGGAAGGCTATTTAATTAAACTTTCCTAATCCACAGTTTAAGGATGACGGGATAACTGTCAATACGAACTGAAAACTTTGGAAGAAGCTACTAAATAACCAAAAAGCCTCTTAAAAGTTTACTGTTTGTGTTGCGTAAACATTTATTTACGTATTTGTTTAGCGGCAAAGCTTCAAAATTATAAATAGTCGACTTCCGCTTGAAGTTTATGGATGAATAAAGTTGGGTGTTTGCGAATAGAAATTTGTTGTTTCTGTTGCGAGTTTAATTGAATTTGCGTACCATCAGTGGTTAGCCATTTATCAGAGTGCTAATTTTAAAACCGTTCACGTCAGGAGGGGCTTCCATAATTTACAGTCACCTTGTCAATAACTTTCTGGCCGAAATCGCGAACTTTAACCTAAACCTAACAGCGAGCGGTCGGAATTTAAATGATCTTTAATTAACGAATTCATTCCACCGAGTAACACCATGAAAAAGTCGTTTTTGATCAAAATATATTCAAATAAAGCGAATCTAAAACCATGTATGATTGATGGGCGCAGCAGAAAATAGAAACAGTAAAAAGAAAAATTTTAGGTGTAAAGTGGAAATTGCCGCAATTTATTTTCGAAAGAACCCCCCTCATAAAAAATCAATGAAAGCTTATAAACCCTAGGCCCATCCTAATTTTAACGTTAGCGAGTTGTGTTTAATCTTTAACGCATTCCTGTAACTTATACCTTCGTTCCTCCAGTATTAGACGAATTCTTTCATTTGTTTAGAAATCGAATGCAGGATACATCCATCGCCCTACATCCAACTGTAACGATTCGTAGCTGCAACTTATTTCTTGTTGTCTACAGGAAAGTGATCTTTGCCTACAACTTAAAGTTACATGAACTAAAATGAAATACCGGAACCATACAAAGGCGGTCATTAATTAATTTTGATTGGTTAAGGATCTTATTCTAACCAATCCCGACTAGTTCTAGGTTCGATGATTGTTTCAAAAAAAATGTACGGTTAGCGTTTTCTACGGTAGCTTTGCCTTATACTGATCTGGACCAGTTTAATTAAACAGAAACCCAATGATTGGAAACACACGCAAAAACATTTGATCCTCTCTTGAATCACAATAAACAAAATCAAAACTTGAAAACGCCGAATTGTGATTATCAATTAATTAAAAATTTATTAAATTAATTAATTCGAAAACTCCTTCAGAAACCACGCTGACTTGGTTGCTGGTATCTAATAATTAATGTTTCTCTACCCGCTCCAACTTCCCTAGAATGATAGCCACCCTATCATTCTAGGGAAGTTGGAGCGGGTAGAGAAACATCCTTTACTGCCTCTTCTACTTCATCTTCCAGCTCACTGTTATAATCTCCATCTTGAAATTCCTCTTTAATTTGATTTAATTGTATTAATTCATTTGACTCCTCTTCTTCATCACTGTAATCTTCCTTCTCTTCCTCGATTTCTTGCTTAACTTGCTTTCAATCTTGAATTGATTCACTTAAATTTCTTTCTTTGTCATTAAATTTTTTTTATGAATCCCATTACTAGTTACTACATCCTCCTCCTTTTCTTTTTGTATTTCTGCGGTGTTGTAACCAGCGTTGGGGTTTTTGAAATAATTTTTTGTAAAGTGAGTGACTTGTGTTTTTCTCCTGTGTTCGCTGCATAGTGGAGCCCCTAGTCCTTGGTAGTTTTCGGGCTGTGCTGACAAACCTTTTCCTTCTGCAAAATTCCTCTTTGGTTCATAACTTCCTCGTCCTCTTCTGTAAGTGTTGTAACTGTTGTAACCCTCTCGAATGTAATTAACTTGTCTTCTATTTTCTTGTTTTTCGTTGACATCTCTTCGGGTTTCCTAGTTTATTGCATTGGCATTATATTTTGGTCACTAATCTTGAAGGAAATTTATAAGAATTTTCATTTTTTGATAAAAAAAATCGATATGATGGTGAAGTAAAGAGAATTAAAATGAAATAGGAAAACTATATCTGTATACGATCTCCTAGGTAGGGTTACAACTTGGCATTGCGTATTATATGAGTAAATCTATGCTCATTTTGAATTTCACGTAATTCGGTTCATAACTAACGGCGATGTTAAAAGGTCACATTTGATCCCATTTCCTTTCCTATCCTTCTCCGCTTTTACGCGAGACTAATAGCGACGTTTCGTCCTTGCAAAATTTCAATTATGCACTTCCAGGTAAAACGCTTCCAGTGACGTACCATGCGTTTTTCTCCTTTAATGAAATGCATAAAAGCGGGAACGATAAAATTCAAAAACTCAGATTTGTTACATCACAAA